CCTCTTATTGGAAGTAACATTTGCAAATATCTCCTCCCATTCATTAGGATAGATTTTCATTTGTTGATGGTTTCTTTTGGTTTTCAGTTTGGTGTAGTTCTATTTGTTTATTTTTGCTTTTGTTTCCTTTGCTTTTGAAGTCATATCCACAAAAATAGTCTTTAAGAGCAATGTCAAGGAGTGTACTGCTTAAGTTTTCTCCTAGGAATTTTATGATTTTAGTTCTTACATTAAAGTCTTTAATTCATATGAAGTTAATTTTAAAGTAAGTTTTATGATAGTCTAGTTTCATTCTTTTGCATGTGGCTGTCCAGTCTTGCCAATATCATTTATTGATTCCCCACTGAATGCTCTTGACTTTGTTTTAAAGTAATTGTCCATCTATGTCTGGCTTTATATCTGGCATCTTTTTTTGTTCCATTGATCTCTATGTCTGTTTTTTGTGCCAACACCATACTGTTTTAATTACTATAGCTTTATAGTATAGTTTGAAATCAGGTCATACCTCCAGCTTTGTTCTTCTTTCACACGATTGCTTTGGCTATCCAGGATTTTTTGTGGTTCCATAAAAATTTTAGAATTATTTGTTCTATATCTGTGAAAAATGCCTTTGGAATTTTGATAGGGATTGCATTGAATATGTAAACTGCTCTAGGTAGTATAGACATTTTAACAATATTACTTCTTCCAATTAATGAACATGGAATATCTTTACATTTATTTGTTTTCATCAGTTTCTTTATCAATACCATATAGTTTTTAGTGTACAGGTCTTTCACCCCCTTGTTTAAATTTATTATTAGGTATTTTTGATGTAATTATAAATGGAATTGTTTTCTTAATTTCCCTTTTTGATAGTTTCTTATTAGTGTATAGAAATGCCACAGTTTCTGTATATTGATTTTGTATCCTGCAACTTTACTAAATTTATTTATTAGTTCTAACATTTTCTGTAGAGTCTTTAAGGTTTTCCTATATGTAAAATATAGTATCATGTTATCTGCAAATAGTGACAATTTTACTTTTCTCTTTTCAATTTGGATGCATTTTATTTATTTTTCTTGCTTACCTGCTGTGACTTCCAATACTATCCTATATAATAAAAAGGTGATATGCAAATCACCTCTCATGCCCTCACAAGATGGCTACCTT